TTGGAAGTGTTTTAGCTGCCAAGGCTTTATGGTATGTAACACAGAGAATAGCTGTAACACACAGTTTTTTTCTCTTATCATCTGTACGAATCCAAGCATTGACAGAGCACTATATGTACATATGCCTATCAACTTTTGCCATGACAGTTCATATTTGCAAAAGAATCCAGAGAGCCATGATAGGAATTACTTTTGAAATAGTCATTAGCTGCATAGTAAACAGCATCTTGTCATTGTTTCATTTTGTATAGATTGTAACAAATTAGCACCTTGAAAGGATTCTAGATCATTTCTTCTGATCCAAATACAGTTTGTGTGGATAATATCAATATCATTCTCACCTCTTAGAATAGACTGTTTTGGTAAAACAATTTGAGTATAGCAAAAATTACCTGAATATATACCCCACATCCCAAATATGCTTTTTCCATTAAAGAAATTTTGATCATCATTTAAATGTTAAAAAATTAAAAATTAATGTACTGACAACACAGAATGATAGCTAATGGACTAAAAGTAGTAATTTATGGAAAACTTTAACATATACATACTACGGGTAAGAAATATATATATATATGTATATTGTTTTTTTATCAAAACAAATGAAATCCAGATTGGTACACTACCAAAGTGAAAATGTGAATGCTTGCTTCTTAAATTTCATATCATCTTGTGTTTGCTAGTGTGCTTAAAACAGGCCTTTGTGCCCGTTTGTGCGAAAAGTGGATTCGATTTTAAATTGTTAATTATAATTTCACGTATTTGGTACAAAATATATAAAAGTTCAGAATTTTCTTATGCTAAATCTAGGAAACAAATCGGGTGACTTGTTATGTCCCTTTATATTCTTTGAAATACGCAAGGTGTTAAAATAATTACTGAAAAAAAAAAAAAAAAAAAAAAAAAAGACACAAAATGGACTACAAAAAAAAGTGATCCATACATTTTATAAAATACGATAACCAGTCTAAAAACTGAAAAACCATATTTAAAGTAACAGTCTTACCTTAATGCAATACGACTTGCTAAATATCATTATTTTGTTAGTTTTTATGTAATTATTGACGGCCTGCAATAAATCATCACTGCTCAAAACAGTAGCCATATCTTTATAAATAATTTTGCAGGTCTAAACTTATTACAGCAGGGATGGCGAAACCACTCAAAAAAAAGACTCAGCTCTTGTTTTGCACCCGCTAATTTTTTCTACCGCAGGGCTAATAATCTCCAAGGTCCGTAGAAAGAAAAGGTTAGCTCACTTGGAGTAAACAAACGAAAAGCCAGCGACTCGTTCGGCTGTGACGTCACTGAAGTTCACTGTAGCATCTCCTAATAGTAGTTTCGTATTTACTTTTGAAAATATTTTCTGTTTTTCATCGGAAAAGTAAAAATTCGAATATTTGGAGTCGAAACTTAACTACCTAAAATATTCTTTACTGTGTAGAATAAGTCTTAATTACGAAAAGTTCTCTCAGTAATTTATTGTTTCACCGAAAGTCTTTCAAACTTCCTTACAGAATTTGCTATTCAAGGTTCAGCTGTTTATACCGTTACTCATTTTAGCTTCAACAGACTGAAAACCCACATTTCACAAGAACTGGAAAATACGTAGTGATGATGTTTAAATGTTGCAATAGAAGAAGTTCAAATTAAGAACATTTATTCTATAAAGCTGTACAAACTTGACCCTAATGTTTGGAATCTAATTTGGCTGAAATTTAAATTTATTTTAATTTGCTAAAGCCTACTTTGGGTCCATTTGTTTCTGCAGTACTTGTTTTATTTAGAAATCTTAGTTTACTTGTGGATTTTTTTTTTTTTTTTTTTTTTTTCAGATTAACTCGCATAAGCTTTTCCTGTAATATATGATTAATTTTAATAGATAAAAAAGAAATTGCAAAAAATTATAAGTCACTAGATTCTAAAGCATGTTTGTAATTTCTTGATGTAAAGCAGCAACAAGAAACATGGACAAATGAACTATTCAAGCTATAACTGAAAGGAAGTGTAATACTTAATCAGCATACTTTTAAATTCAGCAGCTGCATCATGTAATTCTATATAAAAATTGAGACTACATTTAATCCTTTGAATTTTACTTTTTAGCAAGCATAAAAAATAAAATTTTCCAAAAGTATTCAGATAGAAGATGTTAACTTTTTATATTAAAAATATAAGTAAAAGATATTAAAAGAATATTTGCATATCCTCTATTATTTTTTTGTTATTAATACTGTATATTTAGAATTTTATCTTTTAGGTTTCTATATTTATTTCACTTATGTATTATTTAATGTATAAAAATAATAATGAAATGAAGCGTGTAGTCATTTTCTGAATTGTTATCCTCATTTTTTATTTCAGGGAAGTAAATCCTAGATATTAATAGGACTAAATGCTGTATGTGTTTGTTTTGGTATTAAAAAAGAAATTTTTTTATATAATAACTTAAATATTACATTTCATTTAACATATTCAGTTTATCCATTCTATGAATAAGAAAAATTAGAGTTTATCAGTTTAGTTGGGGACAAATATTATTCATACACAGATAAATGCACTCATTAAAACATTATGCAATTTATATTAACATCATTTGACTGTCATTGTACTTTCTGTGAACACATGGAAAAAGGGTGGATGTTTATTTAGTATGATGACCTGTATACAATATCACCACAGACATAATGATTACATTTGTAGATACCAACAAATATATTTTGCACATTTTGCTGGTAAATTTATATAATTAAATGCAAAAGTCAAAATTGGTACTAAATTTTAAACACTACATTCAACAAAATCTTAGTAAATATGGATCTTAATTTTATAAATGAAATATATCATGATGCACTGTATAGTCAAGGAATGCATATTTTAAAACTATAATAAATAAAATATTTGCTTAAGTTACATTATTCATTCATAATACAAATCATCACAAAGTATAAATACAGATGGAAAATGAAATTTTATATTTTACAAGAATTTTGGCATATTTGTTTTTTAAACTTTTCTATATTCTTAAATTATACATTTAGTCCTTCTTATTACTTACATGTATCCTGTGTATTACTGATATTTTAATTCTGGTATGTACCTTATTAACAGTTTAAGCATAATAATACAACTTAATTTGCTTGCCAACTGAATTGTGGACTTCTAATATGTTGTTGTCTGTACTCTGCAATGTTGTTAGTCCTTCTTATTACTTACATGTATCCCGTGTATCACTCATATTTTATTTCTGGTATGTACCTTATTAACAGTACAATAGGCTCAAATTCTAAGTAATTGACGAGGCCCATCAGCTGAACACTGGTGGTTTGACTTCAATTCCTGGAGAATGGGCTGGTTGCATGGCAGTTTTTCCATGTGTAACAAAAGTTAGTTAATGCAGTGAGTTACATACACATTATTTAAAACTATTTAAGCATATTTGGTACTGTGTGTATTTTATGTAATATTATTTATATCTATCTCTACTCTACATATTTTTATTTACATTCAGTTTAACAACACTCAAGTATAGCTATAGTCTACATGTTACTGTGTACTTTGATTATTATAAAATGAGAAAGGTCTAAACACAAAGAATTATGACTACCTGATACTATACTAATGGTACACAATGTTTACAATTACTTTTTTTAAACACTCAGTGCATTTATGTACATAGCATCACTTGCATTTAATATATTCAAACTCAAGTGTAAAGTTTCTGTACATATAATAATGGTATTTATAATATTACAAATTGCATTAGTATATTGCTGTTTGTACATATATAGTAATGCTATATATTAATGCTATTTGCACTTACAAGCAATGCATAATATAACATGCTTGCACATAAGAGTACTGAAGGAATTGTATCAGATATTTTTCTTATTTATTGTACATAATCGTACATACGGTATTTTATGTATGGAGTGTTATTACATATACTGTATTTGTAAGTATGTGCAACATCTCACCAATGCCCACTGTGGCCCAGCATTTAACTTGCTAACACTGGTAGGTCAACCCAGGTTCATATCCTGATGAATGGGCTGGCTGCATTTGAGTTTTCATGTTTTTCTTCATGTGTTATAGGGATAAAAAGGCAATTTCTCTTAAAAAGGAATACACAAAGGCCTCCATTCCCTCGATGGACACCCTTGTATGCATCGGGGTAAAACATGCAGATTACTAAAACTATGTATCTTTAATAGATTTGTACTTACACACCCTTGAACTCGCTGTATTTTGTGAATTTTGATTTTAGCCATAGATGCATTTATAACCAGTGTAATTTCAATCAATGCGATACTGTATCTTTAGTATCGCATTAACTAGTCGCATTAATTAGTTGCATTAACTTGTGATCTAGTCAAATTGTAATAAGCTAACATAGATTTAAATTTCCCTGTTATTCATGATATAGTGTTTTCTTTATTATGCATTTCTAAGCTTATGGTATTTTTGTTTACATTGGATTACTGAAAGTGTATGTGATATTATATAATTATATGCTATGTAATACTGTATTCCTTGCAGTATATGACATGTTTTGATGCTTTTTACCTCCATAAAAAACTCTGATCGTAAAATCTAAAATGATATGCATAAAAACTAGGACTTGTATGCCCATGTAACTTTTTTTTAAATAATTCATTAGCTGCTGTCTGGTCTGCCACTTCAGACCCTGGTCATGGCTTCCATGGAGATATATGTATCACTAAACATTTCTGTTCAACATTATGCAGCCATAGCTGGGAGTTGCTTCAGTAGTAAAAATGTTGTTACTTGATAAGTAATGCTTTATATTTATATGCATTTGTCACAATTCACAACAATATTGAAGACCGTTGGCATTTAAATATACCTAATACAATGCATAAAAGTTCTACATATATTAATGAATCAATTAATTTAAGTAACCCGAAAATTCAAAATGAACTTATATCACCACTATTTAAACATTAAATCAAATCAAAACACACTATAAGTTTCTATACCTATGAAATGATACATTTTGCTGATTATTTTTTATTTTGCCTGCATTATTGGTGCATAATGCAATCGCGCAGTGTGTACCAACCATTATACTATATAAATTTAATTATATTTGAGAACGAAAAAAAAAAAGAACTAATGAGTTTCCACAGTCGATCATAAGCTTACGTTCAGCTTAATGCGGAAATCTCTGTTGATCTGAGGAGAGAGAACTTCAGTGACGTCACAGCCAATAGACGGCGAGAACATATTTTCGTTTGTTTACCCCAAGTGAGCTAACCTTTTCTTTCTACGGACCTTGAATAATCTCAAGCTTAGGTGCGAAAGAAATGTATACGGCAGTGCCACGGAAGGATGTGGAACTGCATAGTAGAAAACAATGAGGTTAGAAAAGACCTTCTTGTTTGTAGAAAATAACTATTTTAAAACATCTTGCGTAAAACATTTGTTCTTAAAACACTCGGTCACTGTTGAAATATTTTACCTTACTTCTGAAAAAGTGACTATATCTCAAACCGAACTTCTTAGAGGACAACCACAGCCTGGTGTACCATAATAAGCTATTATTCCGAGGTGGGACAGCGTTCGAGATAGACGTCTTATCGCTTCGCTCTCCGTTTCGCGTATTTCCAAACCCTACCCCACTTTTCGAATTTTTGACGTCATGGACAAATCGGCTAGTTTCGCCTGGATGGTAATTCTTGAGCATGCGCTGAAGGGCGAGATGTAACATAAACAGAACTTTGGCTTGCGCTTGTAAACAATATTAAGTATATTGTCTGAAAGTGTATTCGTTTATGTAATTGCATAATTTTGCTGTTTCTGTAATAAGAAAACTTCATTCAGATAAAATTTATTTTAATATTATTATTATCTGGTTATAGGATTATACGAAATGCTGAATACTCTAGGTACTATCGTAATCTTCGCATAACCTTTCACATTGGATTTTGCCTTATTATTTTAAAATATATTGTATTATAAAGATTAAATTAAAGCAAATTACTTTGTTAGAGATGTGAATTTTCTGACTGAATTTTCTTTTGTCACTTATTATTTATTTCCTCTTTGAAAACACATTCATGTTTGACAAGTAATTATCTCCGCTTTAAATTTTTTGATTGTTTAAAAACTATATTTGTCAATAATGTAATAAAAACCCACTAATCTAGTGCTTCATAGATCAATATGACAACGAATTCAAAATGTTTTAAAAAAAGTTTCTTAATTTTTATTTTGTAGTAGATGCAACTAATGTCACAGAGAAAAAATATTTCAATAAAAAAGTTCTCCATGTTAATTCAATAGCAAAATTATTTCTATTCAGTGAGAATCCACTTTCAATGCTTATATAACAGAAAAAGTAACATAAGCATTTTAGAAGTTTTAAATAGAAGCTAAAGGTTTACTGTACAATTTTATGTAAGAAACGTAATAATTTACTTTCATTCCTTTTAAATCGGCATATTAGTTTCCAATCAACTAAAATTTTTGGTAAGTTAGAGACTTAACACACAGTATTCCGTCACTTAAAATATCAATTAGTTGTTCTTTTTCATTTAGAGATACATTGGAATTGAAAACACCAAAGGCAAAATGGGTCACACATCCAACCTAATTCCTTATTTGGAAATTTTTCAAAAAACTTTCTGTCAATTTTATCATATGTCGTTTTAAACAAGAAATCTGTATTATTTTCTTTAGTAAATTGTGAGAAGCATGTTTTTTTTTTTTTTTTTTTTTTTTGTTCTTTTGTTGTTCAATTCTCCTTGCCAAAGTATTGTCTTAGTTTTAAAAGCTTACATTAGTACAAACTGCGACACAGTGTGTCTAGGTAACATTGTTTCAAAATATCTGTTAATAATTTCACATATTTTCTCTCCAGTTACTTTTCCTTTCAAAATATTACAACATACAAAATATATTCTACTGCGTCGTTTTCAAAAACATTCTCACATAAACGATAAATTGAAACATTTTAGTAATGTCCGTAGTTTCAAGTTTTATAGTAAAGACTGAATTTTGTATTCTATGTGTCTATGACAAAAATTTGGTGAGAAACAGTATCTTTTTTAATGCTATTGTTTTTAAATCGTTACTATATTTTTCGCATGCATAATGAATGTCATTTTAATTGCTGAAGGAAGAATGAGCGATTCTGAAATTGTAGAGGTTTTAATTTTTTGCAATTAAATACGAAACTTTTAGGATGCCCTGTAAATCCTTCTCAGGAACTGTTGTTATTTTTTTCAAAAACACATTTTAATTTTCATGCTCTCGGCTCATTCCTTAAAAAAAATTCTTCAGATTTATTTATTTAGTCTTATGTTTCGTTTGAGGTACTTTTCAGTTTCACTGGCGCAAATCTCGCCAAGCAGACTTTGTTGACGACAACATACAATATACACATAAAAATGTTAACAAATGTTAGTTCTAAGAAATTTTGATTTTGAAGGCATAAACATTTTAATATCTTTTAAAATTTTGTAAAATGAAAATAAATAAAGAGAATATTTTTTTTTTAAAAAAGACATTAATTTAAGAATTTTCTATGCTTTCATGGTACAACATCCCTGATTTGCCGCCGTTTCGTATCACGTGACCCCGACGTGATCTCATTTCATGTAAACTACGCTACAAAAATCTAATTCTCTCAGTAATTATCTACATTAATTTCAAGTTAAATCTTAATTTGGAATACAAGTTTAAATGCAAGAATTATTTCAATTTGTATAAATAGCTTACTCAGAAATTATTTAAAACCGCAGTGCTTTACTACGCTACTGCATTCTCATTAGAATTGATGAATTTAACCCTTGATTTTGCCTTTTCTATATTTTTGCCTTCGAGTGAGTGGTGTGATTGCAGTCTAAACTGGTGTGCAAAAATTAAGGACAAGACGGTTTTTTCAATATAACTTTGTACAAAAGCTTTCCAAATCAACACATTTAATACCGTAAGATCCCCAATACGTAAGGACAAGAGTATGTAAGCAACACTTACTAAAAGAGAATCAGAGGGATAAAAAAAGAAGCTTTATTGAAAAAGTAGCATGGAGCGCAATGCGACTGAAGGCCGAAACATCCCTGTGATGGGTGTCCAGCAAGAAACATCCGGTCTTTAATAGGGGATATGATCTCCCCTGACTGCTAGGCAGGTTTCACAGCGTCTTCCCATGCTGAGAATGAGGGTGTCAATGAGTTGTTGATGCATTGCTGCCCATTCCTCTTGCAGCACCAATCGAAGCTCCGGAATCGTTACTGGTGGTAAGGTACGAGCTGCCAAGCGTCTGCCTAGAAAATCCCATACATGCTCGATGGGATCGAGATCCGGAGATCGTGCCGGCCAATCCATACGTTCAATATCCTCACTCTCTAAGAGCTGTTCGGCAGCTACTGTGCGATGACATGGTGCATTGTCGTCCATGAAAAGGAACTGCGGACCCATAGCGCCTCTAAAAAGACGCACATATGGAAGAAGAATCTCGTTACAATAACGGTCCCATTTGACTGAACCTGCTTCAAAGATGTGAAGGTCTGTACGACTACCAAGCATGATGCCTCCCCAAACGAGAACACCGCCACCTCCATACCTGTCCTTTCAATGATGTTCGAGGGATGATTGCGGCTTCCCCGCTCTCTCCAGATGAGTATGCAATGAGAATCGCTACTCAGGCTGAATCTGCTCTCATCTGTAAAGAGTACTCGTCCCCATTCATTGTCTCTCCAATTCCGGTGTTCCCGGCACCACAGAGAACGCCTTCTCCGATGGGCAGGCGTTAGAGGTACACACCGTACAGGGCGTCGTGCAAACAGACCACCACCGTGCAGTCTTCTGGCCACGGTAAAACGTGATATCGGTCGTCCAATCGCCTGCGTCGTGTGTCTAGCGATTTCTCCCGCTGTATGCCGCCTGTTTCTTCTGCCCTGTAAGGCAATATACCGGTCATCTGCGAGTGTGGTTCCTCGTGGACGATCACTACTAAACCCCCGGATAGCTGTTCCTGTAGTTTGAAATTGTCTCCAAAGTCGTGAAACGATGCTGTGAGCAATTCCGAACTCTGCAGTAACACTGCGGCCTTCCTCCAACTTCCCAATGATTCGACCTCGGGTAAAAGCATCCAGATGTCGTCTAACAGATTGATTGTTCTCCATTTCTCGCTGAGGCAGCAACTCGGTGTGATTTTAACTGCTATACGGCGTGCAATCTCTTTGTCCAGAAATACTGATCTTACACCGACAACTACTCAGACACTCCCCCATTATGTCTACCTGCATATCTGTGCATGTGGTACCGTACATCACCTTACTTAATCTCCTGATTGGTCTTTCTGTCCGCTCTGCCTCTTCGTCCAGCTGATATGCTAATTTTTCGACTTTGTCCTTAATTTTTACACACCAGTGTAACTGTCTTAATTACCGCGAATGGTCTTGGGGCATAAATTTTAATTATCTTGTAAAAATTCTATGTAGTTGTATGTCAGTATTGAAAGAAACAATCTGATAAGAAATAGGTGCAACTTGTTTCGAAAATGTGGCGTAAAACATTGGCAGCGAAGATATTCCGTTTGGCATCAGTAGTACCGTTGTTGGCGACTTTACTGTTTGCGGCGGCAAAACGGGAAAAGTGACGTTTCTAAATGTATTTGTAATTTCGCAGGTTTCATGCTTTCCATGTGCCAAGTTTTCACTGCATTTAACACACAATGGATATTCTTTTTCCACTGATAATGCAACATGTAAAACCGTATAAAATAAACTCTTCTTGATATTTACTTAATTTTTTTTTCTTTTTAGAAGTAGAAAGAGAACCAATGGTTACATTTTTGTTTGCATTTTCATTAATAGTTTTTCTATAAGTTTATTTGATGTTGGTGCATTCATCCCATTTCTCTTACAAGAGATTTTTGGGCCATTTAACCATCATGAACAAAATTGCAACGAAAACAAAATTGTTTTTATTATCCTTTGAGACACTACTGAATTTTCAAATGCTTAGGAAATGTTATGCGGTTACTTGACAACAAATTTGATTAGAAATAAGAAACATAGTTTATAAATGATGCGTATTACAATTACAAATTGCATGCAAGACATTACTAAGATAGACGAAAACACTAAATCTTAGCTGCGCGTATGCAGTTGCTTTGAAATTGATTCGAGCTGTTGGAAATCATCAACATAACACATAAATCAAGTGAAAGCAATAAAATCAGAATTAAAATATGGAAATGTTTAATTTAAAATTCCTGGCAAATGTTAAAAAACATCCAAAATTCTCTTCAAATTCTGTATATCTTTTATTGTCAAATAAATTTCTTTGAATTTGGTGACCCTCCACAAATTTGTTCATAACTCCCAGGTTAAAATTTTGTAAAAAACAAGTTATCAATTGCATTTTGAAAAAAAAAAAATGATTTCAGGCTTGTCTTGAACAGAACAGCATACAATAGAGTATTTTCAAATTTACGGGAAAG